TGCTACTACTACTACTAGTACTACTACTACTACTACTACTACTACTACGACGACGACGACGACGACGACGACGACGACGACGACGACGACGACTACGATTATTTCTACTATTACTATTACTACTACTACTACTACTACTACTACTACTACTACTACGACTACTACTACGCTGACTAACCAAGACTGCACCGAATATTATTCGTTATATTACTAGCTACTACTATTACTACTACTAACTACTATTACTAACCTAACGACTAAACTACCTACTACTACATAACCTACTACCTACCTCCATACATACTATACTACTACGACTACTACTACTCATACTACACTACACTACACTACTCACTACACTACTCGACTACTACTACTACTACGACTACACGACCCTACTAGACTAGCTACTACTAATACTAACTACTAACCACTACTACTACTAATACTAACTACTACTACTACTACTACTACTACTACTACGACTACTACTACTACTACTGCTACTACTACTACGACTACTACGACTACTACGACTACTACTACTTCTACTACTACTACTACTACTACTACTACTACTACTACTACTACTACTACTACTACTACTACTACTAGCTCTACTACTACTACTACTACTACTACTACTACTACTACTACTACTACTACTACTACTACTACTACTACTACTACTACTACTACTACGACTACCACTACTACTACCACTACTACTACTACTACAACTACTACTACTACTACTACTACTACTACACCTACTACTACTACTGCTACTACTACTTCTACCACTACTACTACACACTACTACTACTACTGCTACTACTACTACTACTACTACTACTACTACTACTACCACTACTACTACTACTACTACTACTACTACTACACTACTACTACTACTACTACGACGACGACGACGACGACGACGACGACGACGACGACGACGACGACGACGACGACTACTACTACTACTACTACTAATAGTACTACCACTAGTACGACTTCGTATACTATTTCTACTACTACTACTACTACTACTACTACTACTACTACTACTACTATTACTACTACTACTACTACTACTACTACTGCTGCTGCTGCTGCTGCTGCTGCTGCTGCTGCTGCTGCTGCTGCTACTGCTGCTGGTGCTGCTGCGGCTGCTGCTGCTGCTGTTGCTCCAGCTGCTACAACGGCTTCAACGGCTTCGAAAGATGAGGTGCCATCGGGCTAAGCCTGAAAATGCCAGCAAGAATTGCCAGACGTACGAATTGAGGTGGGAGGCACAGGAGGAGATGTGTTTGGGATCTACATTTTTGTCCGCCGTGGCCGCTGCCACCCCTGGTGGAGGGGGAAGGGAGCGGGCGGGAGGTAAGGATCAACCCGCGCCTTCCCATGCCCATGGGCGGCGTGGACAAGCTGGGTAGGAAATGGGGGGTACCACGGCGGCGACACCACCAGCGTCATGTCTTAGCCTTGAACACGAAGCGACTGCGTTGACACCAGCGCCCACAAAGTCGGTCCAGCGGAGGCAGCCACGAAAACCCTGAAGAGAGCCGCAAGGAAAACCAATGAGGCGATGAAAGAGGCCAGCTACCAGGAAAAGTCGGTCGAAACGCTCCTACAGAAGATCGACTTCGACAAGCGGAACCGTAGTCGAGCAAAAGGTGGCGAGGACTCTTGGGGTTCACCTGTTCGAAATTCGCATCCGGATGTATTTGGGCGCGGCTACCCACAAAGCGCCTGATTGACCCTCCGTTACGGGATGGGTGGCCAGGGACACGGCCGGGGAAATCGACGCGCCGCCGCATGCTCGCGCTGTCGGTCGCCGTAGGAGCAAGACCCTGCCGCCAACCGATAGCATCAGTGCTCAGCTTCTGCCTCCTGTTGTCATCACGGCCCCTTGTGCCCACGTGCCTTTCTGCCCTTCTCGAGGGCGGGAGGGGGGAGAGGGGGGGGAGTAGAATGGAGCAAGGGAAGGCCGAGGCGGACCCGGGGGACGGTGAGGAGGTGGGGTGGAGGAGGGGGGCTCAGGGCCGCAGGGGCCGAGCCCCGGGGTGGGGAGTAGGGGGGCCTGCCCTTCTCAGGAGTCCGAACTGAACCCTCGGCGCAAGGCAAGGCCTTGGCGCACATACCGGCCGTGTGCGATGGAAGCACTTGCGCCCAAGAGGCACCACCTCTGCGCGCCCTTTTTTCCTTCTGCCCCCCTGATAGCAGTACAGGTTGAACGGCTGCCGCAGCCTGGATCCCTCTGGGCCATATGAGGCCGCGAGGATGGTCGTCTGTCTTTGGCAATGGGCCACCGCGTCTTCGCTACGAGCGCGAGGGCAGCCGTGCTCCTTACCAGCGATGTCTAACTCCTTACCTGCTTGCGTTTACAGAGGCCCTCTTTGTCAGGAGTCTGAGGTCAAGCTTCAGCGCGTGACCCCCCATGCAAAAAGGCCAGCCGCCGCCGCTCTGTTGCGGGATGGGTGGGCTTGGACAAGTTGGGACCTTTTTGTGCAGAGACCGACGGACGCGCCACCGCTTGCTCTCGCTGCCAGCTGCCGCAGGAGCGAGACCCAACCGCCAATCGATCGCATCAGTGTGCTTAGTCTCCTCTGTGTTGCCTCCTCTTCTCGTTTTCATCCTCGTTCTCCCCGCCCTGCCCGCCGATTCGCTCACCCGCGCCGCTGACAGATAGGGGTCGGGACTCGTGGGAGGGGCTGATAGGGGGGGGGCACTTGAGGGGGGACTTTGAAGATGCCGAGAATGAGGTCGAGCCTCGAGCAGCGCGGCGGCCCCCGAGGTCGAGCTTCGCGCAGCGACGCACATAGGAAGACGGCTCCGTTACGGTGCGAGTAGGTCGAGCCGCGGACCGCAGCTAAGTCTGGCCGCGTGAATCCGACGAAAAATAACAAATATTCCAAACATAGTCCAAAAAATACTCCAAACATAGCCTGGGGACTATTTTCAAAGTATTTTTTTGGTATGTTTGGGGCATCTTTGGGGTATTTTTTTATCTTTCGTCGGAAATCCCCCTGTAGGGGGACAGGCCCGACTTAATGGTAGGATGCCTCTCCCTCCAGGAGCGAACAGGGCCAGGGCGGGGAGACCGACGCGCCACCGCCTGCTTACGGTGTCGATCGCCGCAGGAGCGAGACCCGGCCGCCAACCGATGGCATGGGCGTTTCGCTTCCTCGTCTTGTTCTCCTCCTCTTTGTATCCCGTCGTTCCTTGTTTTCCTCCTCTTGTTTTCCTCCTCTTTGTTTTCCTCATGTTTTCCTCCTCTTTTTTTCCTCCTCTTTTCCTCCTCTTTTCCTCGTCTTGTTTTCCTCCTCTTTGTATCCCCTCTTCCTCCTCTTGTTGTCCTCCTCTTTGTATCACGTCCCTTCCTGCCCTTCCGTTGTCTCCACCCCTCTCCCCAGACCCCCTGGAGTAATGAAAAAATAACGACGGGAGGTTTTTCGCTATTCTCGGTCCCTGGGGGCCCTTACCGGGCCTCGGGACCCTGAAAAATCGACTCAGGACGAGAAACCGGTCCCCAGGAATGGGTCGGGACCTCGGGGGGTCGACGTAATGAAACAATCGTGACGTCGGGGGTCTGGGTCAGGAGTCCGAGGTCGACCCTCAGCGCGAGGCACGTCCCTGGCACAAACACCGCGTGCGATGTAAGCACTTGCTCGCTCTGGGCATCACTTCTGCGCGCCCTTCTTTCCCTTCGTCCCCTGGCAGTGGTACAGGTCGAACGGCAGCTGCAGTACTCTGGGCCAGCTGAGGGCGCGACCTCGAGCCCTGAACCTTCGTGCCTTCGCTACGAACGCGACGAGAACCGTGTTCCTTCCCAGCGATGCCTAACTTTGACCTGCCTGCGCTTACAGCGACCGTCTCTCTGAGGAGTCTGAGGTCAAGCTTCAGCGCGTGCCCCTCCGTGCGAGAGGGCCAGCCGCCGCTGCTCTGTTACGGGATGGGTGGGTTGGGTTTTCGGGAGCTCTGGATGTGATGACCATGTCAGAAAGGACTGCTTAAAAATTAGACTTTTTCCTGTAAGCTTTCGGCATCGATTACCCTCGATCCGGTCTTGACATGCCCTGGCTAGGTGTGCCAGCTGCAGAGCTGCGCAGAAACCGCACGCCGTGCAAAACCAGACCCCCAGTCCCGCATGATACCTGATTTGATGCGTCTGGTCATGGAGCCCCCCGCTGTGTGCACCCGCCGCCCAGGGGGAGTGCCAGATGACGGGATCCAGGAGGACGAGGATCAGGATGCGTCTCTCTTCTTCCCAGTCGCCCTCCCTGGAGGCACTGCGCCGCCGGGGCCCGCTCGACCGAGATATGACCCCCCCGGCGCCGACCGGCCCCCTGGGAGAGGGGACGGCCGCGTCAGGACGACCCGGAGGCCGAGAGAGGCAGAGGAGCGGGGTCTTCAGGCTTGGCTGGCCGAGAGAGGCGTGATACACAAGTGGGTGCCATGGCCGGGGGCACGATCTCTCCGCCTGATGTCACGCCCCCTCTTCTTCTTTCGACGCGTTCCCTGGCACGCCCCTTCCTTCTCGTCCGTGCACATGCCTCGGGCCACGATTCGCGAACACCTTTTCTGGGACACCCCCCAGGCTTCTTGGAAGCCAGAAGGTGTTTGTAAGGAGCCGCCCGCCTTCGCTACTAGTTGTTTAAACCCACGGCCCCAAAGCCCCCGACCATGTCCCACGGGGCTAGTTTTCCGTCTGTCACCACCCACCAAACCACCCCAACCCAACCCGAAGGCCCCAATTTGCCCTCGGAGGGGTCGGAGAACATGGAGAACGCACACATATGTCACCCGTCCCCCCCCCCGCAACCCGAAGTTCGGGTCTTCGGGTTGGGCTGGGCTGGTCTGGTAGGTAGTCTGGGATCCATTTGGGTGGATGGCCCTGGGGTCCGACGACGGGCCCAGGGTCGAAAAAAGCAAATCGTCGCAAATTCGGGGGGGGGGTCCTCGCGCGGCGGGAGGGCGCCCTGGCCCCGCCCGAGGTCCACGTCCGGTGCGAGGGCTTCGAGCACGGGAAGAGCGAGGAGCTCGACGCCGTGCCGCACGCGTCGGGGCAGGCCATCGGGGTCCGAGAGCTCGCCCCGCCAGGCCTCTCGAGTGATGGGCCCATTTCCCACCACCACTGCCATACGTAGGAGAGGGAGGAGGAGGCGGAGGAGGAGGAGGAGGAGGAGAAGGAGGTGGAGGAGGAGGAGGAGGAGGAGGGGGAGGGGGAGGAAAAGGAGAAGGAAAAGGAGGACAAGCTAGGTGCGCTCGCGTCATATCTGACATCCTACCCCTCCCTCCCATCCCTTACCATGGCGCAGATCCCCTCTCTACTCGCTCAGTCGGATGTCGAGCAGGGCAATGATGGGTACGCGATGCATTGTAGAGCACGGCATGGCATGGCGTAGAAGAGCACCGCAAAGCGTAGCATCAACCTAGCATTGCAGTGCATGCCGTGGCATTGCACGGGAAATGACGCCAGCGCTGCAGCGGGAGCAGGAGTCGAAACGAGCGGAAGCGCGGAAACGAGGCCAGCGCTGCAGCGGGAGCACGATTCGGAACGAGCAGAAGCACGGAAATGAGGCCAGCGCTGCAGCGGGAGCACGATTCGGAACGAGCGGGGCCCGAAAATGAGGCCGGCGCCTCAGCGAGAGCAGCATTTTGAAAAAAATGCAGGCGACAACCCAACTCCGGGGAAACCTGTGTGTAAAAAACAATACGCGGGGGGGGGGTCGGACACTCCCAGGCCGTCATCAGGGGAAGAGGGAGAGTAGTATTCAGATTGAGTAATTGTGAAGGAGGGGGGTGAGGAGGAGGAGGAGGAGGAAGAGGAGGAGGAGGAGGAGGAGGAGGAGGAGGAGGAGGGGAAGGAGGAGGAGCAGGAGGAGGAGGTAGGAGGAGGAGGAAGAGGAGAGGAGGAGGAGGAGGAGGAGGAGAGAGGAGGAGGAGATGGAGGAGAGGAGGGGAGGAGGAGGAGGAGGAGGAGGAGGAGGAGGGGAAGGAGGAGGAGGAGGAGGAGGCGGAGGAGGAGGAAGGAAAAGGAGACGGAGGAGGAGGAGAAGGAGGGGAGGAGGAGGCGGACTCCCTCCGTCCTCCTCCTCCTCCTCCTCTTCCTCCTCCCCTCCTCCTCCTCCTCCTCCTCCTCTCCCTCCCCCGTCCTACATATGGCAGCGGTGGTGGAACATTTGCCCATCATCGAGAGCCTGTCGGGCCGTCTTGGGGGCCCAATGGCCTCGGGTGTCTTCGGGGCGCCTCGCCGCCACGGCCTGGCTCGCCCTGGAGGCCCGAGCGCGGGGAGCGCACCCCCGTCGGGCGACCAAGCGCGAGGCACGGGGCCTGGGCCTCACAGTGTTGCGCTCGGCACTGCAGGGAGGGCATCCGGAGGGTTTCTCCGAGAAGCTCAGGCGACGCGTCCTCCTCCTCCTCCCCATCCTCCTCCTCATCCCCCTCCCTCCTCCCTCCTCCTCCTCCTCCTCATCATCATCATCAGCATCAATCTCATCATCATCCTTCCCCTCCTCCTCCTCTCCTCCTCAGCCCTCTCCTCTCCTCCCCTCCATTCTCCTGCCCTACTCCTCCTCCTCGCTCCTCCTCCTCCTCCCCTCTCCTCCTCCTCCATCTCCTTCCCCTCCCTCTCCTCCTCCTCCTCCTCCTTCTCCTCCTCCTCCTCCTCCTTCTCCTCCTCGGGTCGCCTACGGCCCCGGGATAAACCGTGCAAGGGCGTCTGTGCTGAGTCTGTGCCCCGCGGTGCCCTTTTCTGTCTCGGGCCCATCCTGGGCCGTCGTCTAGGGCCTTCTCGGGGCCGTCTTGGCGACACTTTGGGCCGCGTGGCGGGGTGCCCCCAGGGGGTCTGCGGCGCAACCTGGGGAATCCGTGAGTTGGGGGTCCAGCCCCCGTGGTGCAGGCCTCGAGGGTTGAGGGGCTCAGCAGAGGACCTGAGGACGCTCCATATCGTGCCTCGAGGCACGGCTGCGGACAAGGAAACTGGGAGGAGGAGGAGGAGGAGGCGGCGGAGGAGGAGGAGGAGGAGGAGGAGGATCGCGCCTGCTTGCGCAAACCCAGAAGTTCCAAACCCACTCTGAGACGTCCGGGATTCATGCGCAGTGCCGTGGAGCACGGACTCACACAGGCCCACATCCCCCCAGAGCTTGGGCCGCGCCGCCATGTATCTCCGGCGAGGTGCTGCGAAAGTTCCTCTTCTCGGCCGACATCGCGGTGTCGTGCGGCCTCTTCCACGTGGTGAAGCGGCTCTTCCAGCTAGCCACGGGGCGTCCCGTGCGCGGCCTGCGCCGGGTGCAGGCGACCTCGGCTGCCTTCGTGGGTGGAGCACCATCTGGGCACATGTGCTCCTTATCCCCCTCCTCCTCCTCCTTCTCCTCCTCCTCCTCCTCCTCCTCCTCCTCCTCCTTCTCCTGATTCATTTACCTGCTCGTCTCCCCCCCTCTTTCCCCCCTCCCCCCCCCCCCTTGAGGCTCCTCACCCTCCTCGTTATCGATCATCCCCCCCAGCCTCCTCGTTGTTTTCGTCCCCCCAATCCCCTCCGCCGTCTCACTCCCCTCCTCCTCTTCCTGCTTAGCCCCGTTTTCCCCCCTTTCTACTTACAACCCCCACTGGTCCCCTCCCCATGCACCTCCTCATCGTCCTGCTCCCTCTCCGTACCAGCATCCTCTCCCTCATCTTCTTCCTCCCTGCCCCCTCCTGCCCGCTCCCCTCCACCCCTGTTTTCTCCACACCCCTCCTCCCTCCTTTGCCCACCTCTGCCAGGTGGACTGGGCGCTAAGGGCCTCACCAGCTGCGGCTCATCCAGGGCCCATTGCCTCGCTGGGAGGGGTGAAGGCTAGAGCAACAGGACTCAGGGACGCTCCATCTGCAGATGATCCCTGCCCTTTGTGAACTGAGGCAGAAGGGTGTTGGTGCGGCCTCTCTTCGTTTGGGTCGTGTGGGTGCTGCTACCTTCCTGCGGCTTGGCTTTCGTCTTCGTTGCGCTTAGACTCAGCCCAGTGTAGTTTCACCGTCCTTGTTGGGCGTCTGGCCTGGCGAAGCGCCCGTGCTCAGAGTAGGCTACGTTTTTTTTTGTTGCTTCAAACAAGCTCAGCATCGTAAACTTATATTGGTTCGGCTCGGGTGCAGAATCGGCCTACGAGTTTCTTCGCTCGGGCCAGACACCATCCGTTGCTTCCGTCCTCGTTTGGGCATCCCGCCACGTGAGTAGCCGCACCGCAACGTCTCCATGTCAGTTGCATCCTGGCCGTCGGCACGATCTCCCCCAGGCAGCCAACGGAGCGTTGGGCCAATCAGGCCAGCTGTGCTGGAGTGGCCAAGGACAGCGGAAACGAGTGGGGACATGTCGCGGAACGTCCTGGACGCCTGGAGGGGGGAACGGGGTCGGGAGGCTCCGCGGCATGCGGGATGTCAGCCGCGCAGCACGGAGCACCCTTGGCATAGCATTTCCCTTTCGCCCCATCCCCATCTCCTCTCCACGCCCCACCCCACCCCAACCTCACCCTTCCCCACCCCACTACGCTACACCCCACATCTGCCGTAGGCCCTCGGAGGTCTTCGGAGGTGCCCAAAGTTTTCCAGAGTGCCCAAGGAGGCTGCACCCGAGGTGCAGGAGGAGACCTGCACCTCCCACGGAGCCCTTGGGCAGGCGTCGTGCCGGAAGCCTCCGGAGGCCCCCGGAGGCCCTCACGCAGAGGCCCGACAACGGACGGAACATCAAAAACCTTACACACTCGACTCCACCGTTCTTCCCCCCTTTCCCCTTCTTCCCATCTTCCCATCCTTGCAGCTCTCACTACGGGAGCTCACCGCTGATCTCTTCGAAGGTCAATAAATCTAGGCCTCCTAGATGGGGTCGGGGAAGATGGGGTCGGAGGATCGCGCCGCATCGCCAATGCATCGCCAACACATCGCCGATGCGGCTCGATGTAGAGCCCGATTTGCTTCACGTCGACGTCACCGATTCATCGCCCACGTCGACAATGCATCGCCGGTGCATCGCCGATGCATCGCCGATGCATTGCCGACGCATCGCCGATGTATCGGCGATGCGGCGCGAATCTCCGACCGCATCTACTCCGACCCCGTCTAGGAAGCCTCTAGATAAGGGGAGGTCAACGAGCCCCCCTTCAGCTGAGTGGCAGGAGCCCCCTATCCGGTGACCGAACCCGCGGAGGTATTTAGAACCCCCCAGAGGGTGTATTTCTCGGCGGCCTTCTTCGCGGATTGGTGCTCCACCAGCACAGGTCGACTGATTGATTATTGCCGTTCCTCGCGGCACCCGCCGTGCCACCACGGCGCCGACAGCCATGCCTCAGGGGCGCTCCCAGGGTCCCCGACTGGCCTCGCCGCCTCGGCCGAGCGCGGCAAAGGAGCACGGGCCAGGGTGGGCCCTGGGAGGGGCCCAGGGCGAGCGTCTTGGAGAGCGCGAGGGGCACGGCTCGGTTGAGAAGAAAGCTCCTCCCCCTGCTTCTCCTCCTCCTCCTTCGCCTCCTCCTTTCTTCCGGTCTGCTCCTCTTCCTCCTCCTCCTCCTTCTCCTGCCCTCCTCCTCCTCCTCCACCTCCTCCTCCTCCTTTTCTTCCTCCTCCTCCTGCTCCCTCCTCAAACTCTCTCTCTCTCTCTTTCTCTCTCTTTCTCTCTCTATATGTATATGTGTGTATGTATCCCCCCCGACTTCCCCGAGGTGAGCGGCCTCCACCTGGACGCGCTGCCTCTCCAGAGCCCCGGCGACCACTGCAGGCTCTCGGACGAGCAGGCCCAGTGGGGAACAGCAGGAGCAGCAAAAAAAACCTTGCGCGGGAGGAGGAGGAGGAGGAGGAGGAGGAGGAGGAAGATGAGGAGGAGAAGGAGGAGAAGGAGGAGGACGAGGAGAAGGAGGAGGAGGAGGAGGATGAGGAGGAGGAGGAGGAGGAGTAGGAGGGAGAAGGAGGAGGCAGGAGAAGGAGGGGAGGAGGAGAAGGAGGGAGGAGGAAGAAAGGAGGAGGAGGAGGAGAAAAGGGAGGAGGAGGAGGGGAAGAGGAGGAGGAAATAGGTGGAGAGGAGCAGGGGGGGCGAGGACGAGGGAGAGACGCAGGCTGGAGATGAGGATGAGGAGGAGGAGGACGAGGAGGAGGAGGAGGAGGAGGTGGAGGAGGAGGAGGAAAAGAAGAAGAGAAGTGAGGAGGAGGAGGAGGAGGAGGAGGAGGAGGAGGAGCAGGAGAAAGAGGAAGGAGGGGGAGGAGGAAGGGCGAGGAGGAGGAGCGAGAAGGAGGATGAGGAGGAGGAGGAGGAGGAGAGGAGGAGGAGAGGAGTAGGAGGAGGAGGAGGGGGGGGAGGCAGGAGAGGAGGAGGGGAAAAGAAGAAGAAGAAGAAGAGGAGGAGGGGGAGAGGAGGAGGAGCAGGAGGAGGAGACGGAAGAGCAGTGAGGACGAAGAGGAGGAGGAGGAGGAGAAAGAAGGAGGAGGAAGAAGGAAAAAGAAGAAGAGGAGGAGGGGGGGAGGAGCAGGAGCAGGAGGAGGAGGAGGAGAAGAGCAGTGAGGACGAAGAGAAGAGGAGGAGGAGGAGGACGAGAGGAGGAGAGGAGGAGAGGAGGAGGAAGGAGGACGAGCGAGGAGGAGCAGGAGAAGCGGAGGAGGGAGGACGAGGAGGAGGAGGTGAGGAGGAGCGCGGTAGAAGGAGAAGGAAGACGAGTAGGAGAAGAGGAGGAGGAGGAGAGGAGGAGGAGGAAGAGGAGGAGGAGTGGGGAGGAGAACGAGGAGGAAGGTAGGAGGACGACGAAGTGGAGGAGGAGGAGAAGGCAGAAAGAGGAGGAGAAGGACGGTGAGGAGAAGGAGGTCTAGGAAGATGAGAAGGAGGAGCAGCAGCAGGAGGTGCAGGAGGAGCAGGGGGGGCGAGAACGAGGAGGAGACGCAGGAGGAGGATGAGGAGGAGGAGGAGGAGGAGGAGCACGAGTCGTCAGGAGGAGGAGGAGAGGAGAAGTAGGAGAGAGGAGGAGGACGAGGAGGAGGAGTAGGAGTGTATTGAGGATGAATGAGTTGGTGATTCTGTGAGCACAGGAAGAGGGAGGATGTATAATTCTGTTAGAATTATTCGGAGGATTGAGGCGGATCGAGGTATGCGTATGGGTGATGGAGAATGAGGATGAGTGGAGAATGTCGTAGTATATGAGGTTATGAGTAGCAGGATGAGCAGCACATGGAGAAGGTGCATTGATACATGTCTGATTATGGAGGAGGAAGAGGTGGATAAGGAGCCGTAGGATGTGAATTATTATCGTTCTAATTATTCTGTTATTATTATGCTTAGTTAGTTCTTCTTCCATTAGTGGTTCATTTTTTCTTCTTATTATATTCGGATTATTCTTCTTCTTCTATGATTACTATCTGATTCTGATTCGGAGGAGGAGGAGGAGAAAGGAGAAGGAGGAGGAGGGACGAGGTGGAGGAGGAGGAGGAGGAGCGGAGGAGGGAGGAGGGAGGAGGAGGAGAAGGAGGGAACTGGAAGAAGAGGAGGAGGCGAGGAGGAGGAGGAGGAGGAGGAGGAGGAGGAGGAGCAGCAGGCGGGACGAGGACGAGGAGGAGGCGCAGGAGGAGGATGAGGAGGAAGAGGAGGAGGACGAGGAGGAGGAGGAGGAGGAGGAGGAGTGAGGAGTGAGGATGAAGAGGAGGATGAAAGAGAAGGAGGAGGAGGAGGAGGTGGATGAGGTTGAGGAGTAGGAGGAGGAGAGGCCGGGGGATTGTGGAGTCCCTGTGGGTTTCAGACGATGTTTTACGATCTTTCACGTTGCCTCTCATCATTACCCTTACCATTACCATTTCCATTACCATTACCATTACAATTACCATTGCCACTACCACTACAACTACCACCGAAATTACCATTACCTGTACCATTACCATTCCCATTCGCATTCCCACTTCCATTGCCATTGCCAGTACCAGTACAATTGCCATTGCCAGTCCATTCCGATTCCCATTCCCAATCCCATTACCATTACGTTTACCATTACCATTACCATTACCATGGCCATTACAATTGCCTTTGTCATTGCCATTCCCATTCCCATTGCCATTCCCAATACCATTACCATTACCATTACCTTTACTATGACCATTGCCATTGCCATTACCATTACCATTACCATTACCTTTATCTTTACCTTTGCCTTTACCTGTACCCTTACCCTTATACTTCCCATTTCCGTTGCCACTACCACTACCATTTGGATTCCCATTCCCATTCACGTTGCCATTACCATTACCTTTACCTTTATCTTTACTTTTACCGTTACCATTACCATTACCATTCCTATTACCATTACCATGGCCATTACAGTTGCCATTGTCATTGCCATTACCATTGCCATTACCATTACCGTTGCCATTGCCATTGTATTGCCATTGCCAGTCGCCACCCCGTTACCATTACCATTACCTTTACCTTTATCTTTACTTTTACCGTTACCATTACCATTACCATTCCTGTTACCATTACCATGGCCATCACAGTTGCCATTGTCATTGCCATTACCATTACCGTTGCCATTGCCATGGTATTGCCATTGCCAGTCGCCACCCCGTTACCATTACCATTACCGTTACCATTACCAGTACCAGTACCATTACCATTACCACAGTCATTACCATTGCTATTGCCATTCCCATTACCATTAGCCACTACCAATACCATTGCCATTACCATTAGCATTACCAACACCATTGCCATTTCCATTACCATTACCATTACCATTACCATTACCGCTGCCATTACCATTACAATTCCCATTCCCATCACCATTGCCATTACCATTACCGTTACCATTGCCATTGCCATTATCATTACCACTACCACTACCATTTCCATTCCCATTCCCATTCCCGTTCCAATTACCACTACGATTCCCATTCCCATCCCCATTATCATTACCATTACCATTACCATTACCATGACCATAATTTTGACCATGACCAGGACAATGACCATGACCATTACCATTGCCATGGCCATTGCCATTGCCATTGCCGTTGCCATTCCCATTGCCATTGCCATTACCATTACCATTACCGTTGCCATCGCCATTGTCATTGCCATTGCCAGTCGCCACCCCGTTACCGTTGCCATTACCATTGCCATTACCATTACCGTTACCGTCACCATTACCATTCCAAGTACCATTACCATTACCATTGCCATTGCCATTACCTGTTCCATTGCCATTGTCATTGCCATTCGCCATTACCATTACACTTGCCAATCGCCACTACCATTCCCGTTACCATTACTATTGCCATTGCCATTCGCCATTACCATTACCATTGCCAGTACCATTACCATGCCGATTCCCATTCCAAATACAATTTCCATTACCATTACAACTGCCATTACCATTCCCACTACCATTACCTTTACCTCTACCTTTACCCTTACCCTTA